GGCTTACTAAAAAATGTGCGAGAAGTTTTGGCCTTTTATCATCTTTCCACTGAATAAAATTGGAACATTTTTTTTCTCCTGCGTATTTTATTTTAGGAGGTTAAGAAAACATCTTAAATATAGTTACATGGAACAAGCATACATCATTGTGTAAATGGTGGTAACATTTTTCAGGGTGGACAAAACCGGTTCCTAGTAGCTTCATCTTCCCATTCAACACCTCGCAACCATCGTCGATCAGCATCTATGACAAGAGCACATCCCTTGGCGCTCTCAGAATCGAGTGGAAGTTTCATCAGCTTTGGACATCTGAGTATCTTTAGATATTTGAGAGCGGGAAAAGGTAAAGGACTCCAATAGATTCTCTTCACTGCAACCAAAAATAGGAGTGACAGTGATTCTAGTTTCAGAAAGGGTGTAGTAAACTTGGGTTCCTCTTTATCAACCTTCATCAATTTCTCTCTATTTATTATCTCTTCCATCTGAAATGACATTTCTACACGCAGGGTAGTCAAACCTTCGCAGTTCACAATGTGGCTTCGGAAGCACACAGGATTTGGACTTGTCATGTGCTGCAGTGGCCGATCCATCTCTGTGATATTAGGGTATGCCATTTCCTGGCCACAGAGAGGACTTGACACTGCCACTAATGATATTCTGATGGACATTTATCGAGAGAAGTTTCAAATATTTTAAGAACCGCAGCTCCTCCACTAAGCCATTACTCATAGGAATATTGGACTCAAATAGTAATAGTACCTGCAGACTCTGTAGATCAGATATCCCAACAACACTTCTGAGCTTGTTTGTGAACTCTAAGTCCAGGTGTATTAGCTTCTTCAGCTCTTTGATACCAACCGGCAACATCTCATCCCTGTACTTGATAAGTTAAGATACTTCAAGGAAACCAAGTTGGCGATCTCTGCAGGCAACTCCGTGAGACTTTCGTTGGAAAATAAATCCAAAACCTTAAGCTTTATCAACCACTTAAAGAACTGTTCTGAGATATTCACCAGCTTGTTGTTTTACAGGAAGAGTGTTACGAGTTTTGTTGACCCATAAGGACTTGCGCTTATCTTCTCAATCTGATTTCCCATCAATGACATCTTTTGCACAACACTCCAATCCTCCACCTCTGGGACATGGCTTAATCGGGCACCGGCTTTCACAATGAAGCTGTCTTTATTCTTGCCAAGATCAGCTGTTATCCATAGCGTCATTTCACGAACCATATCATGCATCTTCAGGTACTCCGTATGCTCATACTCCATCAATAAGCAAGCACGAACAAGAGTACCGATGATTTCATAACTGTGATTCTTAGCTTTACCTCTGTCTTTGTTCCCATCTATAATACCCTCTCATATCCAATACTCTACCAACTCTTCCTTCTCAATCTCATAGTCTTCTGGGAACAAAGCACAGTATTGTAAACACTCCCTATATATCTCATCAGATAGATTATCGTAGCTAAACTTCAAGATATGAAGAATCTTGTCTTGCATACCCGAAAACTCAGCAGGAAACGAAGTCAAGACATGATGCGCGTGATACCATTCTTCTATTGTCCTTCTAGATGCCATGGTCTCCCCGATAACATTGAGCGCGAGTGGCAAACCGTAACATTTTTGAGTTATCTATCTTGCAACTTTGGGAATCTCTGGATGACTCTTTAAGGTAATATCTCCAACTCTCATCCTAAACAACTCCCATGCTTCATCCGATGCCAAACACTTGACTTCTATCTCCGCATCAACCCGCATTTCCGAGCACACTTCCTTAGAACGAGTGGTGAACACAACTTTGCATCTGTTTGTAACGACCAAGTCTACTCAAGATCGTTTCTTGAATACACTGTGTCTTATGATCTTTAGACACCACAACCCAAATCACAACATCAAAATCATTCATAGTATCAACAAAACTGTTATTGATTTGAGAAAGGAGTGTTGTTTTACCAACACCTCCCATTCCGTAAAGACCCAAAGTTCCAACTTCATCTTCCATGAGAGTTCTACATACTTTATCAGCCATTGTTTTCATACCAACTACAAGTTGGATAATCCTCCTTTCTTCGACTTTCGATCTAGGAACTCTCTCTGCCATGACTCTGAAATCTTGTGCTCTAGACTTGAGATCTTTGACTTCTTTGATCTTCTTGAAGACTTTTTCACCATAATCAAGCCTCCGTTTGAAACTCCTTGAAATCTCGGTGGAATCTGTAGTAGAGAGCAAGTCATTGACTTGGGATTCGATTCTCTCAACATTTGAAAACCATCTCTGAACTGTTGCAAGTCGTCGTTGACCTTGCTCTTCTTCTAAAAATACTTTTGTTAGCAAATCATCTCTAAGATCCTTGAGCTCTTGAGTTACCATCTTCAGAGTCTCCACGTTTTCTTGGAGCTTATGAATGTAATTTGTTTTCTAAGACAAACAACGACCAACCTGGTTCAGTGTTTGATCACACGGCACTGATATAGAGACACAACCTCCCATTGTGACTGAACACACACACGCACCTTCTCAGATCCAAAATTAAAACGGAAAGGTTTGAACTTTATGTTTGAGGGTCGAACAAAGGTTTAAACTTTATGAAATGACAGTAGAATTTGGCAGGAATGAAAAACATAATTTCATAAGTGAGCGTTGACGCCGACCCAAAAAAAAAAAAGCGTTGACTAAAAAAAAGTAGTACTTTAGCTACAGTGTTTGGTTTAGTTAAAAAGGATGGGCCTTCTTTCTAATTGGATCCATTAGAGAGCCCAATTTTAAGCTTCAGGAAAATGACACATTCACACATTTTTCATGTCCAAAAACCAAAATTAGGCAAACATGATGAAATAAGTGAAAAAAGTAAAAACCCTAAACCCTTTGCTTTTTAGCTTTCCTCTATTTTCTCATCTCCTTGACTTGGCTTTCGTCCTCAATTCGCTTGCTCTCTGTAATTTCTCATCCCCCAACTACTTTTCTGTGTTCTTCTGAAACTTTGAAGTTTTTTTTTGCTTAATGGGTCTGATCTTTGCGAGTGAAATGCATAACATTTCATTTCCTCCAAATCCGACCTTGTAAAGATAAA